TGGACGGTGATGGGAGATATGATAAAATAAGATCTTACGTCCTCTCTTGTCAGGTCCAGCAATGTCTCCTCTGTATGTCATACCACATAAAACATCCTGTCTGTACCTGACATCACTTCCTGCCTGTAGCAGACATCACATCCTGTCTACCATAGAGACGTCCTGTCTGGGTAGAAGTGAGATCACCTCTTGTGGAGCTCAGAGTAACTGCAGCCCTGAGAACCGTCTGGTAGTGTGAACCCGGCCTTGTGCTGAGTGTGTATGGACTGTATGTCCTCCTCATAGAGGGGTCACCTCCATTCCCACCAAGGGGCGTTTTTTAAACGTATTTTGATTCAGTGGATTTTGTGGTGAAATTTCAGATTTGGCCGACTTCTTATTATTAATTTGGCATATAGGCAAAAATGGACCCTCTACCGTGATAAAAAAAAAACCTTCCCATGCTGCTTTGCAAGACTTGTGACACCTCTAAGTCCATCCCTAGTAAGCAGTCAATGATTATCCATTCCCCTCTGTTTGTCATCCAACTTTACCCCCTTTGGCACACCTTCCAATTGTTCACATCAGTTTCCCCCTTAAATCATGAATCCCCATCAGAGTCCCTCTTTCTACGTTAAAGTCTCCCCACCCCCCCCTTTACATCAGGTTCTCCAAAGACTCCATCTGTACATTAGGGTCTCCAAAGCCCCCTCTACATCAGGGATCCCAGAGCTACCCCTTTTCATCAATATCTTTAGAGCACCCCCTTACATCAGGGTCCCCAAAATCGCTCACTTTACATCATGGTTCCTAAAGTCCACCCCCTTACATCATGGTTCCTAGAGTCCACCCCCTTACATCATGGTTCCTAGAGTCCACCCCCTTACATCAGGGTTCCTAGAGTCCACCCCCTTACATCGGGGTCCCCAAAATCGCTCACTTTACATCAGGGTTCCTAGACTCCACCCCCTTACATCAGGGTTCCTAGAGTCCACCCCCTTACATCAGGGTTCCTAGACTCCACCCCCTTACATCAGGGTTCCTAGACTCCACCCCCTTACATCAGGGTTCCTAGACTCCACCCCCTTACATAATGGTTCCTAGACTCTACCCCCTTACATCAGGGTCCCCAAAATTGCTCACTTTACACCAGGGTTCCTAGAGTCCAACCCCTTACATCAGGGTCTCCAGAGCCCCCCCACATCAGGAACCGCAGAGCTACCCTTTTTTCATCAATATCTTCAGGGCCACCCCCTTCCATCGGGGTTCCTAGAGTCCACCCCCTTACATCAGGGTCTCCAGAGCCCCCCCCTACATCAGGAACCCCAGAGCTACCACCTTTATTGATCAGTATCTTCAGGGCCACCCCCTTCCATCAGGGTTCCTAGAGTCCACCTCCTTACATCAGGTTCTCCAGAGCCCCTCCAACTTCAGGGTCCCCAGAATCGCCCACTTTACATCAGAGTTCCTGGAGTCTACTCCCTTACATCAGGGTCTCCAGAGCCCCCCCTACATCAGGACCCCGGAGCGACACCCTTTTCATCAATATCTTCAGAACCACCACCTTCCATCGGGGTTCCTAGAGTCCACCCCCTTATATCAGGTTCTCCAGAGCCCCCCTACATCAGGGTCCCCAGAATTGCCCACTTTACATCAGGGTTCCTAGAGTCTACTCTCTTATATCAGGGTCTCCAGAGCCCCCCCTACATTTGGAACCTCGGAGCTACCCCTATTCATCAATATCTTCAGAGCCACCACCTTCAACGGGGTTCCTAGAGTCCACCCCCTTATATGAGGTTCTCCAGAGCCCCCCCTACATCAGGGTCCCCAGAATCCTCCCCTGTACATCAGAGCCACCTGATGCACAGCCCGACTCTACTGACTCCCCACCTGGTGCACAGCCGACTCTATGGACTCACCACCTGGTGCACAGCCCAACTCTACTGACTCTCCACCTGGTGCACAGCATGTCTCTACTGACTCTCCGCCTGGTGCACAGCCTGACTCTACTGACTCTCCGCCTGGTGCCCAGCCCGACTCTTCTGACTCTCCACCTGGTGCCCAGCCCGACTCTACTGACTCTCTGCCTGGTGCACAGCCCGACTCTACTGACTCTCCGCCTGGTGCACAGCCCGACTCTACTGACTCTCCGCCTGGTGCACAGCCCGACTCTACTGACTCTCTGCCTGGTGCACAGCCCGACTCTACTGACTCTCGCCTGGTGCACAGCCCGACTCTACTGACTCTCCGCCTGGTGCACAGCCCGACTCTACTGACTCTCCGCCTGGTGCACAGCCCGACTCTTCTGACTCTCCATCCTGGTGCCCAGCCCGACTCTACTGACTCTCCGCCTGGTGCACAGCCTGACTCTTCTGACTCTCCACCTGGTGCCCAGCCCGACTCTACTGACTCTCCGCCTGGTGCACAGCCCGACTCTACGACTCTGACTCTCTGCCTGGTGCACAACCCGATTCTACTGACTCTCCGCCTAGTGCACAGCCTGACTCTACTGACTCTCCGCCAGGTGCCCAGCCCGACTCTACTGACTCTCCGCCTGGTGCCCAGCCCGACTCTACTGACTCTCCGCCTGGTGCACAGCCTGACTCTACTGACTCTCGCCTGGTGCCCAGCATGACTCTACTGACTCTCCGCCTGGTGCACAGCATGACTCTACTGACTCCCCGCCTGGTGCACAGCCTGACTCTATACCTGGTGCACAGCTCGACTCTACTGACTCTCCGCCAGGTGCCCAGCCCGACTCTACTGACTCTCCGCCTGGTGCCCAGCATGACTCTACTGACTCTCCGCCAGGTGCCCAGCCCGACTCTACTGACTCTCCGCCTGGTGCACAGCATGACTCTACTGACTCCCCGCCTGGTGCACAGCCTGACTCTATGCCTGGTGCACAGCATGACTCTACTGACTCCCCGCCTGGTGCACAGCCTGACTCTATGCCTGGTGCACAGCCTGACTCTACTGACTCTCCGCCAGGTGCCCAGCCCGACTCTACTGACTCTCCGCCTGGTGCACAGCATGACTCTACTGACTCCCCGCCTGGTGCACAGCCTGACTCTATGCCTGGTGCACAGCATGACTCTACTGACTCCCCGCCTGGTGCACAGCCTGACTCTATGCCTGGTGCACAGCCTGACTCTACTGACTCTCCGCCAGGTGCCCAGCCCGACTCTACTGACTCTCCGCCTGGTGCACAGCATGACTCTACTGACTCCCCGCCTGGTGCCCAGCCCGACTCTACTGACTCTCCGCCTGGTGCCCAGCCCGACTCTACTGACTCTGCGCCTGGTGCCCAGCCCGACTCTACTGACTCTCCGCCTGGTGCCCAGCCCGACTCTACACTACATTTGGGTACTTGTACCCGGGCAGGAGTCAGGAAGGGGGTGGCGGGAGGATGGCGAGGAAGGGGGTCGTACTTTTGCCCGAGTAGAGGAAATTCCTTGCACCAGCCCTGCATACAATGTATTTAGGCACCATTGCCGAGCTCGGTGTTTGAACCACCTCAATGCATTCATGTTTCCTCATTTCCCAAAAAAAATGAAATCAGATTTCCAAATTGAGGGTTTTTGTACCACCCTGGAATTTTTTATTTCATGTTTTATATAACAGAAAATAAGATCTTGGATGTACAAAAACTATGATTTCTATAGAAGACATTTCCCGCACTCGGGAAACTAATACTCCATGAGGGTGGTGTGGGCTCTCTGATGTCTGGTAAGACAAGACCTCTGCGAGAAACATTTCCCGCACTCAGGGTAAGAAAACGGCTTTCCAGTGTGAGATCTCTGATGTACGGCAAAATATGATCCATCTAGAAGACATTTCCCGCACTTGGGACACTAATACACCTCGAGGGTTGTGTGGGTTCTCTGATGTATGGCAACATATCATCACTATAGAAGACATTTTCTGCACTCAGGACATGAATACACCTCAAGGGTTGTGTGGGTTCTCTGATGTGTGGTAAGACAAGACTTCTGTGAGAAACATTTCCCACACTTAGGGTAAGAACACATCTTCTTCCCAGTGTGAGATTTCTGATTTACGGCAAAATATAAGATTTCCCACACTCGGGAAACTATCACTTCTTGAAGGCTGTGTGGGTTCTCTGATTTCTGGTTAGACAAGACTTCTGCGAGAAACATTTCCCGCACTTAGGGTAAGAAAACATTTTCTTCAACATCTTCCTCCCCATGTGAGATTTCTGATGTATGGCAAAATATGATTCATATAGAAGACATTTCCCGCACTTGAAAAACTAATACTCCTCAAGGGTTGTGTTAGTTCTCTGATGTCTGGTAAGACAAGACTTCTGTGAGAAACATTTCCCACACTTAGGGTAAGAAAGCATCTTCTTCCCCATGTGAGATTTCTGATTTACAGCAAAATATGATTCATATAGAAGACATTTCCCGCACTTGAGAAACAAATACTCCCTGAGGGTTGTGTGGATTCTCTAATGTCTGGTAAGACAAGACTTCTGCGAGAAACATTTTCCGCATGCAGGGTAAGAACACATCTTCTTCCCACTCTGAGATTTCTGATGTGCGGCAAAATATGACATTTCCCACACTCTGGAAACTATTACTCCTCGAAGACTGTGTGGGTTCTCTGATTTCTGGTAAGACAAGACATCTGTGAGAAACATTTAACGCACTCAGTGTAAGAAAACATATTCTTTGGTGTCTGATTGCTGTAGATAACATTTCCCGCACACAGAACAAGGAAACGGCTGTTTCTGCATACGGCATATCTGATATTTAGTCACATCAGGGTTCCATTAAAAACTTTTTCCACACTCAAACAAGCAGAATGGTTTGTGGCCTGTGTGACATCCCTGATGTGCTTCAGACTGCACGTTTGTAAGAAACATTTCCCGCACTCAGAACAAGAATATGGCTTCTACCAAGTCTGAGATTTTTTTTTTTATGTCAATTAGGTTCTAATTTCTGTGTATAACATTTCCCACACTCGGGACAGCAATAGGACTCTCGCCTGTGTGACACCTCTGATGTGCATTTAGATTGCTTTTTTGTGAAAAACATTTCCCGCACTCAAGGCAGGAAAACGGCTTCTCCCCTGTGTGAGACCGCTGATGCACAACAAGTACCGATTTCCTTATGAAACATTTTCCACATTCGGAACAGGAATACGGTTTCTCCCCCGTGTGAGTTCTTTGATGTACAACAAGTCCTAATTTGTTTGAAAAACATTTCCCGCACTCAGGACAGGAATACGGCTTCTCCCCTGTGTGAGACCTCTGATGTACAACAAGTACTGATTTCCTTACGAAACATTTCCCGCACTCGGGACAGGAATACGGCTTCTCCCCCGTGTGAGATCTCTGATGCACGACCAGTCCTGATTTATGTGAAAAACATTTCCCGCACTCAGGGCAGGAATACGGCTCCTCGCCGTTATGAAATTTTTGATGTAAAGCAAGTTCTGATTTCTTTGCGTAACATTTCCCACACTCAGAGCAGGAATAGGGCTTCTCACCCGTGTGGCATCTCTGATGTCTGACCAGTTGGGCTTTATATAGAAAACATTTCCCGCACTCAGAACAGGAATGAAGTTCCCCCTCCCTGTGAGATCCCTGATGTATAAAAAGACCTAAACCAGAGCTAAAACTTTCCGCACATTCAGGACAGGGAAACGTCTTCTCCCCCTGAAACCCGGCCCCATCCCCCACAGTACGAGGTTGCTCAGAGTCAGAGGGATCCCATGGTCTCCCCACACTGTGAAGTCCTCCATCCATAGTGGAGCTCATTGTCTTTTCTCCGGCACAATCCTGGGATGTCCTCATCTTCTCATTTTACAACCTGGAGATAAAGTGAGACGATCCTTTGAGGGTTTCTCCATGGGGGGTCCTGGAAAAATAGAAAAACATCATCAATAGATAGGAGAGGGTTAGTTCACTTCCATCAAGATTCCATCTGGATCAGGGAGATAGGAGGGAGCAGATGTTCTCTGTGGATGTCCCAACCAGCTGGAACTCCTCCCCTCTTCAAAGAGCCTTTACTCCTCCTCCCAGATCACTTCTACATTTACATCGCCTTGTCAGAGGAGCAGGAACCAATGGGGGCTGGGGGGGGGGGGGGGGGGGGGGGGCGGTAACAGATCAGAGATAAGAGAAGAATTTATTCTGGTCACCTGTGCTGATCTCTGTAGTAGTGTCCTCTTCTATGACTGTCCTCCTCAATCCAGCCTCCTCTGTATATTGCTGATCATCCTCACATACGTCTCTTCTACTTCACCTTCAACTTTCATGTTCATCAGATCTTCACCCTAAACCCAACAGAAGGGCAGCAAAAAAAATGAGGATTCCATACTTTTTGTACTCAAAAACAGTCAGGTTATACCGCCGCCTACTGGAGGTTGAGACACTTGCAAGAAAAAAAATTGTAAAGGGAGTCCTCATATAACTCCTCCTCCACCCAGCATGCCTTAGTTTTGCAGATAAGCAGTACCAAGGGGAAAAGCAAAACAAATTGCAAAGTTTTGGGACTTGTGTCCCTCAATGGACTCCAAGAATCAGATGTTATGGTAAGTCCAAAAAAAGATTACATTCCTTCCTGTCCAATGAGGGACACAGGAATTCAGGGACAGTCAGGAGGTCCAAAAGTGGTCCAACTAAGAGGTGGACAACAGCCAGTGGTCGGCCCAAAAGGGACTGGGAACTATTAGGAAGGATAACCCCCAATCTGAACCAGATGAGACAAAGCACCCTACAAGACGGAAGTTGGCTATGATCGATGGAAGTCCACCTGATGACCAGACCCCCCCCCCCAAATGTCAGGACGGTACAAATCCCCCAAATGTCAGGACGGTACAAATCCCCCCCAAATGTCAGGACGGTACAAATCCCCCCAAATGTCAGGACAGTACAAATCCCCCCAAATGTCAGGATGGTACAAATCCCCCCCAAATGTCAGGACAATACAAATCCACCCAAATGTCAGGACAATACAAATCCCCCCAAATGTCAGGAAGGTGCAAATCCCCCCCAAATGTCAGGAAGGTGCAAATCCCCCCCAAATGTCAGAACGGTACAAATCCCCCCCAAATGTCAGGACGGTACAAATCCCCCCCAAATGTCAGGACGGTACAAATCCCCCCAAATGATCCCTTTTTGGAAAGTAGACAGTCTGAGCTATTGATAGGAGGCATGGCGAGTTTTTTCCCAGTGCAGTACAGCGCCATTATATGACTGGTGTTGGTGGTGATCAGGGACAGTGACTGGTATGTAAAAAAAAAATGTAAAAAAATATGTTTTTTATTCAAGTTTTAACATCTTTTTTAAACTTACATTTTTTTTTTTTACATACTTTCTACAGAATAGTTTAGTGTCACCATAGTAACACTACTACTCTGGGGGGTGATCAGAGATTTTTTTTTTCTAACCTTTGATTGCTGTTACACTGTAACTGCAATGTGTTGCACTGTCATGAATGGGTTACATTTATAACTACTGTGATTTTACTATTGTGATTGGCCACCAGCTATCACATGGTACAGGGTGCTGTGACTGGCCCAGGTACCATGTGACAGATGTGGGCCAATCACAGCTCTTATAAATTAGCTGGAGATGGTGGAATCCGTCATGGAGGGAGGTTTCCCGCACAGCTCCTGTGTGAACCCAGGCTTATCATAGTGACTTTGAGCCTGAGTTCACACAGGAGCTGTGTGGGAAACCTCCCTGCATGACGGGTTCCACCAGCTCCGGCTCCCGATCCTACTGTGGATATCACTTAGGCTGTGACTTAGGCCACTCCTGCTTCTTGCCTCTCCCATGGCTCTCTCCCCCCCCCCCCCCCGCTTTCAGCAGCTCTCTCTTCCCCCAGCCTCCAATGGCTTTCTCCCTCCCAGCTTCCAGCAGCTCTCTTCCCCCAGCCTCCAATGGCTCTCATGGCTTTCTCCCCCCAGCTTCCAGCGGCTCTCTCCCCTCGCCTCTAATAGCTCCCATGGCTCTCCCCCCCAGGGTTCCAGCGGCTCTCCCCCCCCCAGCCTTCAATGGCTCTCTCCCCCCCAGGTTCCAGCGGCTCTCTCCCCCCAGCCTCCAATGGCTCTCTCTCCCCCCCCAAGCTTCCAGCGGCTCTCTTCCCCCAGTCTCCAATGGCTCTCTCTCTCCCCAGCCTCCAATGGCTCTCTCCCCCTAGCTTCCAGCGGCTCTCATGGCTTTCTCCCCCCAGCTTCCAGCGGCTCCCATCAGTCTCTCTCCCCAGCTTCCAGTGGCTCTCCCCCTCTCTCTCCCCCAGCTTCCAGTGGCTCTCTCCCCCCAGCCTCCAATGGCTCCAAGTGGATGGCTGGAAGCTGAGAGGAGAGAGCCGCTGGAGGCTGAGGGGAGAGAGTCGCTGGAGGCTGGTGGGGAGAGAGCCATGGGAGAGGCAGGAGGAGACCAAGCTGCAGCCGCCTATATCGTTTGATTGGGAGTTGGATCTGGAGGAACCCGTCATGCAGGGAGGTTTCCCACACCACTCCTGTGTGGCCCAAAGTCACTATGACAAGCCTCGGTTCACACAGGAGCTGTGCGAAAAAACGGCATGCGATTTGCATAGGTACCGCACCGCATTCCTGTTCAAAACGCATGCGGTCCTTTGCAGGGCGATTTTCCACCCATTCATTTTGTATGGGCTCAAATCTCACCCCAGAAGTATCAGTTTTCGTTGGCACAAGTATGAGTAGTCGGTATCAGCACCAACACCAGCATCAGTACCGGTGCAGCCCTAGAAACATCATCAGAAAATTTCCATTAAAAATAGCAAGGGGACCCCCTGAGACTGGAAGAGAACTCAAGGCCACCAAACCTTAAGGTGGTATGTCTGAAAAAAAGGGACATCGTGTACAAGAAGTACCCCTAAAAATGTAGGCAGAGATGAAAGTTATAACCTCAGACTGGTGCGAAGGAACACCAGAAGAACAAGGGGATGGACAAGCCATCCAGTGACCACCTGTAGGTGACTCTGGGGCTTGAACTCTGAAGGATCTACACAAACTTAGTATAGGACATGATTCTAGGGATATCCTGACCCCTCCCAGTCCTGTGAAGCATCCATAGTCATGAAGGAACCTTAGCCACACTGCTAAGAACATGAGCCTTGATAAGGGTAGAACGGAAGAAGAGATTTAGGAGGCCATGGATCAGCCACAGAAGGAGGCCCTATCTCCAGGTGATAAGGTCACCTCCAGACATACTCAGCTCCCATCAGCAGGAGCATAGGGACCAGAATACTCCCGTCACAGTGAGGATTCCCAAACCATCCCAGAGGTGAAGGTTCTGCATCACCTAGATGATGTCCAATGGAGTCCAACTCAGGAAATTGACTAAAAACGAGATCCACTGACAAAAAGAGGACCACCTGTTCTGGGGAAGCTGATTGAAACCGCGGGTAAGGGAACACCCCGGCAAGTGTTTGGTTCCCCGGGACATGGAGAAAAGACCACCACAGTCAGCAAAAGACACAACTTCCTGGGGAGACCATAATAATCCAGAGGGTTAGGTAAGTGGGCTTTACTAGTCCTACTGGTGGGTGTGTCATAGGTTAATCAGCTTCTGATCAATGCAGGGGCGGACTGACAGCTCATGGGGCCCCCGGGCAATAGGGGATCATGGGGCCCCTGTGTCCTTGCCCAAACTCAAAAAAGGCTATGAAAAAGGTCCCAGGGTCATCTCATGGGGCCCCCTACTGATCCTTAGCCCTTGGGCAGTGCCCGAGTTTCCAAATGTTCAGTCCGCCCCTGGGTCAATGATCAATATCTCGAAACATAAAGTATGTAGCACATTTTGTACCGTGTTTATGGGTTCAGAAAACTCAGATGATATTTAGAAGCACACGGGGGTCTGGATTCTTCTACGACATTCAATGTAGCAAACATGCCCAGGAATAATTCATAACTACCAAATATTATCCACCATATACCTGATAAAGTCTTGCGTAGCTGTGATCCTCCGTTGTAGAATCCCAGGAATACAGAGGATGGGGACATCTCTCTGGTGGGTTCCCATGACTGGATCCATCTACCTGATGATGGTGAGAGATGGTGTGACCTTCCTGCGTGGAATCCCGGGAATACAGAGGATGGGGACATCTCTCTGGTGGGTTCCTGTAGCTGGATGACTCCACCATGGTGTCCTGGTACAGATCTTTGTGTCCTTCTGGAATCTCTGACTCCTCCATCACCCCATGCTCATCTTCCTCCTCTTTTATCTCTTCTTTAACCTCAACTGTAGAATCTCTCAGGTTTCCACTCTGAATATATAATAAAAATGACATCGATGGTAACAATGCAGATAATGTACAGATCCTAATGATACTATCAGTGATTGTTCCTCATCTACCTGATGATGGTGAGGGATGGTGTGACCTTCCTGTGTGGATCCCAGGAATACAGAGGACGGGGACATCTCTCTGGTGGGTTCCCATGACTGGATCCATCTACCTGATGATGGTGAATGGTGTGACCTTCCTGTGTGGAATCCCGGGAATACAGAGGACGGGGACATCTCTCTGGTGGGTTCCTATTATTAAGTGGC